TTGGGCCTATTAGCGTTAATCTCCTAGGTTTCGTGCAGTACAAGAAATCTGCACAGGCCCTATAAGCCCCGCAAGTGTACAGCCTCTACGCCCAATCCCTAAACTCTAAGCCGCGCATTTTCTAACTCTACATCGAAGAGGATGAACATACCCACCATCTCCGGTAAGCTCCGCATATTCCGTAGCCCAAGCATAACTATGTGTATCAAAGTCTAGGAAAATCTTGGGCACAGGAAAAAAAGGATGGGGTCTGGGTAAACCATGATCTTACAAAGCAAGATTCTAAGCCCAAAGCCATGAATCTCCAAATGTGTAACCCCCGAAGCCCTCACTACCTAAAGGTTGAGCCCCCAACCCGAGACCCCTAAAACCCTTAAACACCCAAATCCTTACCTCAAGATCCAGGCAACTAGAAGAAACATCAGCCATAATCCCAACCCGAAACTGTGTACCATAATGGTACCCTATACCCCAAACCCTAAGCTAGGACCGCCAGGTAAAGCTTGAAATCCAGGCGCGTAAAGGTAGGTCCAGCCATAAACATGTTCCTCAGCTTGCAGGAATGTTGGGGGTTAGGGTTTAGGGATTATAGGGTTAGTGTTTGAGGGTATGCCGGGGATGTAGGGACAAAGGCGGGTACATAGAGTTTAGGGCTTGGGGTCTAGAATTTGCAAAAAAAATTATGATGGGGATCACAATATCTTGTGCTCTATACTTGCATGATCTTGTGACTCCATAAGTCTGCTTACTATCCTTAGTAACCCCCCCTATAAGCCCTACAAGCCTATAACCCAAGTTACTAATTAGACTTACTAAGTCAAGAGATCCTCCAAGTATTGGGCTCCCTGCGTATGGAGACTACTGCATGCACGCTCATAGAGGATGGATGACTTGGGCACTCAGTGTTTTCAGTTTCGGGCCAAGGGTTCAGGATAAAGGTATCCCTAAACCCTAAATCCTAAATGGGAAAATGTAACTGTTTCACAACAAAGCCTAAATTCTAAATCCTAAGGGGTTGGGTTTGGCGCTCGGGTTTCCCACACCCGCAAGATGTAGGGAATTACAACCTGTACTAAACCTACTGAACCTAATAAATGTTCACCACCCTTAATTATTCCTGATATTACGCTTAATTTCACGACTATTGCCAGGCGGGGGCGCCCTAAACCCTAAATCCCAAATCCTAAACCCCAAACCCCCTCGTGTAAAGGATTCTACACAACCAAATAAGGTCTTTACCATCCCCACGCAGATATATCTGACAGTATTCAGCAGCTCCAAGCCCTGAACCCAAATCCTAAGCCCAAGACCCTGAACCCTAACCCCCCAAATCCCATGCCAAAACCTCAAATCCTACTAATCTGACTCAACCCCACATAACCCCTGTGCCCCCTTTATTCCTGGTAACGGTACATATGTAATTATGTAAAAAAATGGCTAATTTACAATGAAATCAAAACCTGCTTTGGTGGTATTTCCATGTAAACCACGGTTTGGGGTGAGGTGGTCATAGTCTGGCCAGTAATGCACCTCCTAGATCAAATCCGACTCAGGATCGATGACCAGCCGCTGTGGATGCTATCGACTAGGCATCCGCCGTCAACGTTCAGGGATGCAGCCCAGTTCCCGTTGGTCTCCTATGTTGTATCTAGAGCCAGGGCGTCGGGATAGGGCGTATGTAGGGGTTTACAAGCAAATATAGGATTTAGGATCGTCTCCGGCTGATAATTACTAAGAATCCGGCATGACCCCAGGCATCTAAAAATACATTGGAAAACAGCCTTTTCTCGCAAAGTCAAACCCGGCACTTTCCCAAAAAATGAGAGGACCCGATGTAGACCCTAAAATACTCTAGTCCTTCGCAGGGAGCCCCAAAAAGGCACTCCCAATTTTGGCATACTTCAAACCTATATACCCCTTTACAAGCTTACATAACCCCTATTTCCCCTTTAAAAGGCACTCCCAAATTTGGGAAACCTTCATCTCCGAGAAGACAGCAAGCAATTGGGGACTGGCCATGTCTTGGGCCCAAGCATCAAACCCAAGCCCAGCTGGGTACTGTATTAGCATCCTTTACAATAAAACATAGCATGCCCAAAAAGGAACTACTTAGTAACCCTGGGGTATGGCTTTCCCCTGGCTTTTGGGCAGGTGCTTTTCCAGACTAGACAACCGCAAGCAGAAGGTTAAATGGCCACAAAAGAGATGCCCTAAACCCTAAACCCTAAACCCTCAACCCTACAAAACGGTCGAAGCCTGTCCAGGAGAACCCCGGTTTCTGAAACCAGTTTCAGACTAGACTTGCTTTCTGGTAGAAGTGTAGCACATACAAAAACTGAGAAAGTGCAAAACCTATCCTAAACCCAACCACTGACTTGGAATTTCTCCATAAATTCTAGTCAGGGTTATATGCCGCCAAAATTGGGGCTTAATCTAGCTCGTGTGCAGTTATCTAACATGCAGCCCCGCTTACGCTTCTAGAGCCACGAACCTCCGCCGCTCAGAGCCCGAAAGCATTAGGTTCAAAATCCAATCCCGCGGAGGGTCCTTGGTCTCGAGATGTGCTGCCAGTGGGTCCAAGAAGCCAGCGGCGTCTCCTGGTATGGTTCGGGGTATTTCAGGTGGGGACGCACCGGGCGTGTACTCTTCCTTACATAAGGCTCACAGAAGTCTTGTATTGCTGGAAAAGCAGGTCTGTAAAACCTACATAAGGCTCATAGAATAATTTCCCTAAAGACGGGGTTGCAATATAGACACCCGTATGCTATACTCCTTATTATAGGGACCCCCCCAAAAGATACCCATGATTTTGTGGAACCCCTGTCTATGATGAACAGGCCTTAGAGCTGAGGTTGAGAGTTTCAAGGCTCAGGGTTCAGGGATATAGTCCCCCTTAAGTAGATAGAATATGGTTTTGGGTAAATTACAATAAGATCCCCATATACCCCATATTCTATCTACTTAAGGGGGACTATAACCTTGAAACCTCAATTCCTGCGGCTGATGGTTTTGGGGGGTGCTTAGGATGCTGGATTTAGGGCTTGTGGACTAGGATGATAATCATAGTAGCAGTAATAGTAACAGTAATAGTAAAATAAGAAGTAAAAAGTAATAGTAATAATAGACTTCCACCAAAAAAACGCACAACTGTTGGATAATCCTTGTAATAAGGATGAATGAAAATGCGGTACGAGCAATCCGACAAATAAGAATCAAACAAGGATTGCTGGCAGTGATGAAGGCATAAGATATAGTCCCGTGTCTAGGTAAATTTAGGATCACCAATTCAATCGTGTATACTGGCGCGGGAGTTGTTAATAACATGGGAACCTACCTGATGCTACCTTGAGCTTTCAATTTCTAAGCAACCCTGGCAGAAAACAGAATACTTGCAACCTGGGAAGTACTCATAGAGAATGTACGGCTACATTTGAGCTATAGTCTAAACTCTTAGTATCCCCCCTAATAACCCCTATAGTAGTCCCCTATATAATCCCCTCTATTAATCCCTTTAAGGAGTTTAGACTATAGCTCATATAAGGTTTAAGGTTATGAAGGTACCCGGATGGCTTCCCCTTCTCACCCAGTGGGCCCTGAGTCCCTATCAAACCCCTAAGCTGCAACAACATTACCCTGGTTTAGGGTTTAGGGTTTAGGGTTTAGGGTTTAGGGTGACTTTGTAAGTGGTGTTATAGTGGGGAGAACTAGGGTTACCATATGGATTACAGAATTATTTGCCTAGTTGCTAAGCCCCCCAGACCCTCCAAGTCAACCCTAAATACTGTGGAGCTTCCATGTTCTTTTCCACTCCCCAACCCCATTGTTTAGGGTTCAGGGTTTAGATGTGGTAGTTTCCCAAAATTGGGGGACCCCAATATAGATCCCAATATTCTATAATCCTGATTCTGGGGACGCCCCAAAAGGTACCCCTAATTTTGGGAAACCCCCATGTAGGTGTTGGGGTTAGGGGAGCGCGTCTCCGGCTTCAGAAGGGAACAGCAAGTAGTCCAGCGCCACGCGCCAAACAGCACGGCTTGCTTCTGCGCCATACCTGGACTTTCCCAAAAATTGGGGGCACTCCTTGTGGAGCCCCAAGGATGAGGATTATAGGGTTTAGGGCTTAGGGCTTAGTTTTTCTTGGGTTCAGGGTTTAGGATGTAATGAGAGTACTAAGGGACTCTATGATGATTACCATTACAATTTGTGGCCATCGCTATTGGTGCGTGGGTGAAGGGTCCTGCTTGGGTAGATGGACATAAACCCCAAACTCTAAGCCCCAAACCAATCGAAGCCCGGGCTATGAACATGGGCTCACCTCAACCCAAGAAGAGACCCTCAACCCGGTCGCACCTTAAATTCTACCTGTGACCCCAATTACCTACAGTTTTATGGGTTATACCAACTAATTCGGGAATTCTTACTACTAAACTGTAGGTAATTGGGGTTACAGGTAGACCTTCAACCTATAGTCCCCCTTAAGTAGTTAGAATATGGGGTATATGGGGACCTTATTATAATGTCCCCAAAGCCATATTCTATCTACTTAAGGGGGGCTATAATCCCTGAACCCAGATGCACCCTAAACCCGGAGCCCGAAGCTCAAACCCCACGCCTGACACCCCTTTCGCTCCGAAGCCCTTCCTACATCCGCTATGCCTTCGGTGGACCCCCCATCCTGTAATAGGGTTCAGGGTTTAGGGTACTATAAGGGATAATAAGGATTATATTAGGGTCCTCTTATATTCCTATTATACCACTATTACAGGGTGGGGGGTCCTCTTAAGCTATGCCTATATGATAGGGATTTCCCAAAATCAGGGGTACCTTTTGGATGGGATATAGGGGTTATGTCAGGTTTAAAGCGGGTATACAGGGTTGAGGGTTTCCCAAAATTAGGAGCATTTTTTTGGTGGGCCCCTGTAAGAAGGATTATAGTATTTTTGAGTCTATGTTGAAGTCCTCCAATTTTATCCCAACTATCATATTCTAGTATCCCCAGCAACTCTTGAATAACAAGGGTACCCTTGTTCGTAATGTTCAGATTTGATCAGGAGTCCCCAAGTAAAAAGGACAAAAAGGTACTACTAGGGCACCTAGCATTTTAACAAAGATCCGAGGTTCTCCGCGCCCGGCGTGCCGCTGCCAGAGAACCCTGTAGTGGCTCGGAGGCTTTGGCCCTCTTCAAAGACCTAGCTTTGCTGGTTTACTTAGCCCACACTACCGGGAAAAGAGAAGGATCTTTCTTACATAAATGTAAGGAATCCCCTACCCCAAAATGTATAAAGGATCTCTAACATTGATCCAGTTTAGGGTGTAGGATTCAGTGTTAAGGGGGTTGGTCTACCGAGTTGCTGTTAAGGTGAACTTGAACTAAGTTACCATAAAATGGGAATGTAGTAAACAATGGGGTTTTCTTCTTTTGTAGTAACTGAAGCTGAATTCCGTAACAGCAACCCAGTACAGGGAGCAGGGTTTAAGGTAGGTTAGGGCATATAGGATCTAGGATTCAGGATTTCCGGTTCACCCGGAGGCCCCGCACACCCGTCCATTACGGAAGTCCATGGGTTTGGCAAGTACTGACTGGACAGGTACAGGGCTTCGGAATTTGATACAAATACGTTCAAAGGAGGAAGGGTCGAGAAGTTGAGACGAAATAGAGGCCTCTTGAAACACAGGGCTATTACTGACATTACTGTTGATTGAGGAACCTTGCACGTCCGGCAAGACCCTGAACCACTGCAGTTCATGGGACTTTAGCAACTGGCATTAATCCCCTCCCCCTAATATCAAACCCCCACCCCCCTACTATTAGCTACTCCAAATAAACTACAATATTCCATGTAATGGGAGTATCTAACATTAGGGGGGTGGGGGTTTTTAATATTAGGGGGAGGGGGGTAACAGCAGTAGGGGTCCCAGGGATGCCTCAAGTGGAGTGTAGTGAGCGTCTGTCTTTGGGAGTTTAGGGCTTTAAAGTTTGGGGTTTAAGGTCTGAGGTTTAGGCTTGGAGGCTTATGGCTTAGGGCAAAAAAACTCCCAAATGCCCTCTTTGTTGGGAAATTCCCGCCTTGGCCCAGTTGGGCACAAGACCCGTGGAAGGACACTGGGTGGCTCCGAAGACCTTGTAGGTGGTTGCGATGACCTTCTCCATTGCTTACAAGCACTGAGCCCTGGGGAACAGCATATAGTCCCCCTTCAGTAGATAGATTATGGTTTTGGGTATATTATAATAAGATCCCCATATACCCCATATTCTATCTACTTAAGGGGGACTATATACCTGCAGTAGCCTGCCCATACCCGAAAAATGAAAACGAAAAACCTTATGAAACCGAACAGCCACGCCTTGTTCCACTCCACTTCCCACGTGTCGCCCTCATTGGCTGATGTGCCGTAGCGAATATCATGCGACTTCATGTAGTTGCGGCACAACCTATACACGCCCGGGGCGTGGTAGCTTGGGTTTTGGCCCTGACCACCCCAACCGCCCCAACAGGCACCCAGCTTGACGATGCGATGGTTGCCGGAGCTGGATTCCACAGTGGAGCTCATGTAGAACTGCTTGCAGGTGTCATATGCCCACTGGCCAACCTGTCAAGGCACTAGCTTAGAGCAGAATTCTATGATGTCTTTACAGAACCGCCTGTCGCAAAGCATCTTGGTCTCTTAACCCATTTGACCCCCCACAACCACAAACATACAAAGGGCAAGCCTCGTCCAACCAATTTGGTGGCGACGGCTCCTTTTCCAGAGCTAATACTGCCAGCAGCATGCCGGCCAGCGCATCTGCGTCTCCGTCTGGGGCAGAACCTTTCCCGATGATGTTCGTGAGGTCGT